TGTCCTGCTGGCACAGCTGGGTCACGCTGGGATCACAGGTCTGTAAGAGCTGGCACTGCTGCCCGCTGAGAAGAAAGATCCTCTGTGCTTGACAACATGGGCCATTGTCCCAGCTTCCCTCTCTCTAAGGGTGGGGACAAGCAGATGCTGTGAGTATGAGAAAGACGAGGCACAACTAGTACAGAAGGACTTTAGGGCTTCACAGTGGGCCTGATGATAATTTAGAGGAGACAGCGGAACAAAGACAGTGTCAATGTTTCAAAGATGTCACTAGGGATGAGCTTCCTATACCAGGAAATGAAGGGACAAAACTTGACCTGGCCAAAGGGATCTCATTACATGGAAAGATGTGTCCTGCTCTAGGCCGTATGCTGTGCAGAAGCTGGCTGGAGCACTCAAAGCCTTTGGCAAGGACTGGAAGGAATTCTAAGGTTATGCAATGATACAGCTTTTGAAGTTTTGTAGAATGAGATTAGATAATGAGGCTGGAGTTCCTGCTGTAAAGGACATGCTGGAATGCAATATTCTAAGAAAATATTGAGCCACGCACTGGCTAACAATGATACAGCCACTGCATTTGGAGAAAGTCAAATCCACATAGAATGACCATCCAGAGCACCCAAGGGCCCCAGAGGAAGGAAGGTGGAGGGAAGATTGGAATGATCTGCATTTGAAGTAGGAAGTCTACATTGGCAGCAGGTCTTGAGCTTCTTAGATATTGCTTGGTCTCAAGTTGAAAGGCACTTTGTGTTGGTATCCTCTGCTGTTTGGAATAATAAGGGCATGCTATGTGCCAACTGCACCCCCCTCCCCAAAATAAAGGAATAACTTTGTGGTCGAATTAGGTAATAGCTCCAAGACGTAGATTGGCTTCCCTGAAATTGAGTAACGTGCACTTTGACCTGGTAGAAATACAATGTCAACTGTCCTTGGTGCAGCTGGTTGCCTACCTGTGATGTTAATTAGGAATTGGTGGAAAGAAYTGGGCCCTAGATGATACATGTGATCACTAATAAGCGATGGACATGTGAGGAAAGTGCACTAATCCACTCTCCCCTGTGTGTGCCCTGGGAACAAGATAAATAGAGTGACTTGCTCAGCTGTCAGGACTGCGTTCAAATGGAAACCAGGCACCAGAGTGCACACCCCCCGTGTGCCCATCCCACGTCACCTGCTTGTCCACTCCTTGCCAGGGGTCATCTGCTCTCAGGATAACTCCTGCCCTTGGCCATATTCTTCCTTCTTCTTTGGGTTCTTTCTTCTTCTCTTTTACTAAAAATTAGAGCCCAGCTCCTCTTCTCTGGAGGGTCTTCAGGCTCACTAAATACAGGGTCAGAATCCAACCTGGTCTTGTCCTAGATGCTGCCCAGGTCTTGTCCTCAGCCTTGTTTGAATGGAGTTGCCCCACCTGGAGCACTTGCAGCCACTGACTGGCCCACCACGGTCCACAGCCCAGTCCTCCCACCCCAGCTCAGGAGAGCTCTCCAAGGCCATCATTTCAATCACTGAGATGTCTATGGTTGAGACTATCAACCAGAAGCCCAGTGCTGCCCCTGGCCAGCGCTGCCCCTGCTCTTCCCTGCACAGGGTTGATCCTGGGAAGCCCCCTGATACTCGTGCTGCACCATCTCTGCCTCAGCGCCCGTTTCTCGGGAGCCCAGCCTGAGACAGTTTCTGAAGAGACAGAGCAGGAGCTGAATAGGAGAGAAAGCTCTAGAGGGTGGGGAACCGGCCCCACCAGGCTGCTGGGAGCGTGAGATGGGTTAACACGTGTGAGAGCCAACAATGACCCGGGAGCCCTAAGTCTTACAGAAGTGTTTGGCTGTTCTGATTAGCACTCCAATTAGAATGTCATATGTCATTATTATTCATGATCTTAAGAGTTTAAAAAAAAAATCTATRTGGACTAGTCCTTGAAAGAGAATCACACCTCCAGGGCAACGTGTGCAATTTCTCACTGGTTTTCATTYCTGTGCATCTGCCAAGGCTGCAGCTGAGGGCATCCCACAACACAGGTGAGACATGAGAGAAATGGCCAGGCTGGACTGGAGACGGTATCTCTCCTTTGCTGATAGACTCCCCTCCTTATGGGTCACCCCCATCTCACCAAGTCATCTGTCTGCAAATATGGACATGTCCTTCAATTCCAAACCAGCRTCACCACCCAGAGGCCCTCCTTGACCACTCCCTCCACCTAATGATCTGACCATCTTCTCCCTTTCTCTTCGAGCGTGTGTGTGTTCACCATGGCGTGCATTGCCCAGCTCAGGCTTCCATGGGAATCTGACTCATTCTCTTCCCCGGGACAGGGTAGGTGGTCAGCATATTATTTCCCCAGTTTTGCCCTAAAATGCCGCCAAAAACTGGGTGGCTTTAAACACCTTCCAGAGACCAGAAGTCTGAAAGGAAAGAATCAGCTCAGCCATGCTCCCTCCAAAAGCTCTAGGGATGGATCTTCCCTTGCCTCCTCCAGCTTTGGGTAGCTCCCAGGGTCCCCTGGCTGGTGGAAGCATTGCCCCGCTCTCTGCCTCCTTCTTCACATGGATCCTCACATGACCTTCTTCCTCAGGTTTCCTCCTTCTTTCTTCTCCAAGGAATTTAGACATGCCAGGAATTTAGACCCACTTTGTACCAGGATGGTCTCATCTCAATATTATTTGCTTAACTGTGTCTTCAAAGACTCTTTTTCCAAGTGAGGTCACAGGCACAGGCTCCAGGTGGACACACACTGTGGTGCCCACCACTCAACCCACCACAGTAGATATATTTTGGTTCTACGACCCAGAACCAGCTTCTGTTGGGTCCATCTGGCAGGTGATGCAGGTCTGCAGAGGTCAGTTCCAGAAGGAATGCAGGGAAGCGAAGAAACAGGAAGAGGGGTGAAGKAGGACTAGGTGGATCTTATTGACTGACCATGAAGAAGTAAAGTAMAAAAGGAGTCAGAGGTGGCTGAAAAGCATGGACCCTCAGTGCTGTGAGGGCAGTCAGGAGGAGAAGCTGGACCTCGCTGGCCATGTGCTGTTTTAACAGAATGTGGAGGGAGTACAGGATGATCCATTGGCTGAGCCAGGGACTCTGGGCCTCAGTTTCCCCACAAGCCTGTGGCAATTCCAGCTCTCCTGGAGTGTGCAGAGTTCTCTATGCAAGGACTTTACACACTTAAGTAAGTACATGGTTCACTATTGCACATGAACCCAGCCTGGCAGGTCAGTTATCTACTTATCTATGTAACTATTAATTATCTTACAAAGTGTCCCAACAGCATGTTGGGTGGGTTAGCCAGTGTTCTGGGAAAGAAAAGGACGCCCAAGATATGCCACCTGGCAAGAGGACCAACAAGAGGGGAGAGGAACACACAGGCACATACAGGGCAATATGATAAAATGAGATTGTTCATTTACTGCCTGTCCTCGCCATGTATGACATCGGCCTCATGCAGCAGGCTTCCTCTGTCTTCCATAATTATAATTACTGTATCCCATTGCTAAGCAACCTGCCTGGGACAGAATGGGACCAGTGCTATTGGTTGAGTCAATGAACAAATGGATTCTTGAACAAATGGATGAAAGGAAGGCAGTAGCTTGCAAAAGTACTACAGGCACTCACAGAAGCAGCAGCAGGCAGGGAGAAGTCATAGGGAAGACACCCTTGAACTTGACCCTGAAGAATGAAAAGTATTCTTACAGATCCAGGGGAGRCATAAAGAATAATCTGATTCATGATATAGGAGCATCAAAAAAATACACATAAATAAAATATGGCTCAGAAGTTACAGTATAGGGGCCTGGCAGGAAGGGCAGCCAGAAATGAGAACGTGGTAATGGAAATAGAATTCAAGGTCATACAGATAACAATTTTGACTATTATGGTAAAAAAAAGAAAAAAGAAAAAATTGGATTTTATGCTGCAGGAATGGAGAACTAGGCAGGTCTTTCAAGCAGGGAGGTGACATTGTTGGAATCCTGCTACTTAGAAAAGTTGTTCTTGCAGTAGTTTGTTGGGTGTACTGGAGCCTAGGAGTCCAGGAAAGCAGGTGGGGGGAGGGGGTGAGCTCGAGGCCAGGAGGGAGATGCTGAAAGCAGAAGAAAGACTGAGGCTGGCTTATGGGGTGAAGAGGACCRGATGCTGTCAAGAGGCGTTTACAGATCCAAGTGTTAGGGTCTGCAAGATGGCAAAGATGGAGGAGGAGGAAAGGGGAGGCCCCAGCTTAAGGCCCAGGCTGCTGATTTGGAAATTAAACAGTGAGCAGTGGAGCTTCGCCCCAGGGAGACAGTCAGGCCTGCAGGATATCAGTAAGAAAGACCCAGACAGCAGTTGGATGTTCACGTTCGAAGATAGACATGAAGTCAAGGTGCGCATATAGACCGATGAATCAATTTGCCCAGATGGAAAAAGAACAGTAAAAAAAAAAAAAAGAAAAAAAAAGAAAGAAAAGAAAAGAAATACGGAAATGATAGAACAATGAAATCGTTTTGAACGATTAAGAAACAAAAACAATGGAAAGCAATAATGAAATCACAAAATAATGCCATTATTTTCTAAAAGGTCAATTTGCAGAGAGACAACTCACTGTATTTTTTACTTACCATGTTACATTCCATGGGCCACACATGAAACCCAGTTGGAGAGGGGCCCTCAAGTTATCATGAGATTTGTCCCGCAGTCCCCAAGTGCATTCTGCATGTCCCTGGAGGCTCCCTGTAGCCAGGCACACTTCCCGGCACCCAGGAGGCTCCCTTGGCTGGCAGTCAGATGCARAGGCAAACTGCGAGCTAAAACAAAAGTGAAATTAAAACTCAGCCATGGACTGCAGAGGAGCCAGTCTGCAAGCCAGGAAGTTTCTCTGGGGAAGTACCCCTGAGCCAAGGCAATCAGAAAAAGGAAAACAATAGGTGTCCCAGAAAGGGGACACTGGACCTGAGAGAGCCCTATGGGATGAAGCCAGGGACAGTCCAGGGCCCAAGAGGCAAGGCTAGCCCAAATGAAGGAGAGCAGGAGAGATGAGGTAAGACCACCTTATGGGCTGATGTTCAAGGAAATTCTGTTTATGGAGGAAAAAGTCACCAGTAAGTGTTTGATAAAGCTGATGAAATGTGTGCAAAGAGAAAGAAAGTTGGTTGAACTGGCCTAATTAAATGAACTAGGGATGCATAACAATGAGGGTTTATGATAGTGAATGTTTTTAATGAATTTTAACAAATTACTTCAATTTGAAATGATTTAATTTCTTCATGGAAAGTGCCTTAGCAAAGTGCCTAAATTATATGGGAGTTTCATAAAGATTACTCGGATCAGAGCTGCTCTTGCTTTGAGTCTGCCTTCCTGTGAGATGATGTTTACTAGAGTTTTGTCCAATTCAACAAATACAGGGAACCATCTAGAATGTGCTGGCCACTGGCTCACAGTTGACATCCTCGCAGTATCTCAGCAGCCTCTGGTGAACCATGTGGCAGAAGCAATGCGCTTGGTGTTTGGGGAATGAGTCCGTTGGAGGGTCTTGGAGCTTGGAACAATTCCAAGGTGGCTCTGCTGATGTGGGAGAGGCCCTGCCCCATAATACTACCCCTGTATGATGATGCTCTTACACTTTTATAAAAGTGTTTTTAAGTAATTAAATTACTTTAAACATGAACTTTTTTAACCCCAGTGGAAATGCAAAGAGGGATTCAGAATTGTGTGTGAGGCGTTAATTACTTACATCTGACTGGTGGGGGTTTTTTCCTATGAATGAATGCACTTAATTAATTTTTCTCTTAGCTTCTTGCTATCTCCGGGCTGTAATCTATTTTCTTTCATCCCAGGGGCAATAAAAGGACAACAAAAGAAAAATCCAGTGATTTGAAATTCCAGAACTCCACTCTGCCAAAAAACAGGTCAGAATCTTTACTCGTTTATTGAAAGAGAAATGAAAATTTTTATTCTGTGGCAAATAAACTGGCCATCGTATGCACCCATTCACATGGAAAATGTCCATGTGACCGAGGTACAGCTCTGGTAATGAGCTCAGAGGCTACCCAGAGACCAAAAGAAGGAGTTTGACTGGTCTGCACAGCCAGCAGGGCTGGAGCCCGAGAGAGAGCCACTGAGGGGGACATCTGTCCCTCTGCAGTGAGTGATTAGATGACGGAGCATGCATCCGACCACAAGTTCACCTCAGGGTCTCACAAGCCAGCAGGCAACAGAGAGCCGCCTGCCTGTATCATCAAGTTTCTTTGTCCCTCAACTGAGAAAAATGTGTACTGAGCAGTTATGCCATCAGGATTTTCACAGACTATTGAAAAAGCAGAGACAAAAGACCCAGTCCTGCTCACAAGAGCCCACAGATAGTCCAGCTTCAAGTGTCAATTAAATTACTGAGAAGAGACCAAACCCAGTCCAGTCCAGCTCTGCACTGACCTGCAGACTCCCTGGCAACATCCTGAGGCTCAGAACATATGAGGGCCCTGCTCGCAGCCAGCACTCCCTCACCACGCCCTCCTGGGGTGGTCAGTCTTCCCAGCGTGGTCCAGGGGTCTGCATGAGTATGACCATCCTCCCATCCCAGCTCAGTTCAACTCAAGCCTGTCCAGCAAAGTCTCTGCAGGGCCTACTGTGTGCACAGGCTGCAAGCAGTCTTGAGATCGTAAGTCCTGCTAGAATAAATATTTTCCCTAAGCAGAGTAAATGAATGCCCCTAAGACAAAATACTGGCATTGTTTTTCAAAACCACTTTAAGCAAAGGAAAATTTGTGGCTGTTCTCAGACTTCTTTAATGCTTACATTGAAAACATTTGAATAATGCATTTTAAGTTCATTTTTCTTATTTTCTGACAAAAGCAAGAGATGGGGAATGGAAGGGTTAGAAGCCTTCCTTCGAATGGAGAGGGTTGAAGCAATTACATACATCAAAGTAATATTTACAGTTACATTTGAGGGGGAAAAATAAGACAGAGAGGAGAGCAATGCTTTTTTTCCAAAGCAAATTATTTCAGAATGTGTCATAGCATGCTCAAGATATATTAAAAAGAGCAACAGATGATGTTTCTGCAACCTGTTCCAAACCATTTATAAACCCAAATTTAAAAAAACAAACCCCATATACATACAAATTTCTGTACCACTGCATATTTTATAATGGAAGTATTATATGAATATAAATTAGCATTTGAAATATATAAATCAAATCAAAATGCCCAGAAGCTGCATGTGAGGTCTACTATCCATTCCCCATAGAGGCAACAGTGACCATCACTGGATAATGCAGGAGAAGGGGAGCTAGAGGTGGGCAGCTTACAGTACAGAACCAGCCCATGGAACCCAACTGAAATCTCAGCTGACTTGCTTACTGTGTGGCCTGGGACAGCACCTCATGTACTTTTAAAATGGCATTTGAAAAAGCAGTGTCTCTTGTTCTTCTTCAAATACCTGAACCTAGCAGTGCCTGTGTCTGGGGAATAAATCAATGGCCACTGTGGCATACCTGAAAGGTAGCAGGTTCTCAATGCATAATGAAGGCTAACAGTCTCTGAGTGCCCACCCTGTGCTAGACATTATCTAAGAGCTTAGGGCAGCTCTCGCAGGATCCTAGCAGTCACACTTCACTAGTCTCCCTTCCACAGGAAAGAAAACACAGAGGATAACGAGTTGCAGAGCAGTAAGTGGCAGACATCATGATCATTACTAATATGGAATCTGTCTCTGGACATCACACACCATTGCCCTCATGCTGTTAGGTGTGGGTGCTGACTCTCCAGACCTAGGCAGAGGGCTCAAATATGCACACGTGGCCTCCCGGTAACTTACAGAGTAAGACACTAAGCTGAGTGTCAGGTCCACTCAGAAGATGCAGCCCAAGAGACGTTCCAAGAACAGTACAGATTATCCCCATATCCAGAACCATGACCCATCTCTGATAGCAAGAGGAGTATGTCCCAACAGCTCATGGTGTTTGCCTGACTGAATCCCAGTACCCTCTTTTACTTTGTGCTATGTCCCCATTATAGTGACAGAAACATTCAAATTGGTGTTGCCAATTTGAGTCCACGCTCAGCAAGTGAATACCTAATAGGCCTCAGATGTCAAAAGGAACCTCGGCAATGAACCCTCACAATTACACTCCATAGATATTTTTATTCCCATTCAGTGCTAGGGAAAAGTAGCCTGAAAGAGGTTGCATGTTATGACCGTGGTCACAGAGCTACTGAGCTGACTTCAAATCCACTTCTGCATTTTAATGATCAAAACTTTCTTATCCTTCAGTGCACAGCTGGCCCCCACAGCGGTGGGCTCTGCACCCCTGGATTCAATCAACCACAGATCAAAAACGTTGAAAACCTTAGGTCTGTACTGAGCATGTGCAAACATTTGACTTGTCATTATTTTTAAACAATATGGTATAACAACTGTTCACATAGCATTTGCATTGTATTTGTTATTCTAAGTAAATCAAAGATGATTTAAAGTAGACAGGGGATGTGTGTAAGTTATACGCAAATCCGACACCATCTTATACAGGAGATGTGAGCACCTATGGATTTTGGTAAGGTGGAGCTGGAAGCAACATCCTGCACACACCAAAGGACATCCGTTTATGCATGGGTTTAGTTTCCCATTCCTAAGGGTCAGTAGTCTGCCCCTGCTGAGACTCCCCATTTGAAGGAGAGCCGTGTGCTTCCCCTTCCTGAGAAGCACATCTGTCAACAGCTGCATAAAGGTGCTGCCTCTCAACAGTGGTTCTCAGAGTGTGGAGCAGGGACCAGCACCATCAGCATCACCTGGGAACTTAGAAATACAGATTCTCAGACTCCCGTCTACTGCCACAACGTCAGGCAGCTGTGTGTAAATCGGCTGCCCTGCAATACGGAAGCCTGTTCAGAAACCTTGGCAGGAAGCATCACTCCCAAGAGCACAGGCTGGAAGAGAGGCCTCTGGGCCTGACTCCTGCTCTGTCCCTTCCCACTGAATGAAAGCAGGACAGAGTGAAGATCTTCAGGAGGGGGCGGGGGAGAGAACCGTGAGTGTCCGAGTGCCTCTCCCCTTAGAGGAACCTCCTGGAGGCCGCTGTGGGGAGCCTTGGGAAAAGCAAAGGTGAACAAGACACCCCGCTGCCATCAGGATGTTCATCTGTGGGGTGGAGGGGTGTGGAAATGTAAAGGGACAATAGACCAAGACACATTGTAAGGCAGGGCATCGTGTGCACAGCAGAACACAAGCCCCGTGGAGCCGAGGGACACAGCGGGATCGGAAGGTGAAGGTTGACCAAGTCCTGTCTCCAGAGCCAGGGTTCCAACCACTTCCTCCATTTGCCACATGCCTGTGCCCTGCTGCCCCCTCTGGACAGCCCAGTACTAACTGTGTGCTGTCCCCTCAGACCTTCCCAATGCATTGCCTCCTTCATGATCAATTTCCCCCTCTGCCACGAGCTCTCGTAGTTCATTCCAGGGCAAGAAGGTGCAGGTGGCTGTAATTTCTCAGGGTCCCCCGGGGCCAGTCCTCTCACTGAGGAGACGGGCGCTCTCTTCCATTCTGTGCACTTGGAGGCCCCTCCTGGGCCCCTCCAGTCAGCACACCCAGGAGCCTGGGGGCACAGCTGCCACTGCTCTTCCATGCTCCTCCTGTGCAGCTGCTCTGGGCCTCTCTAGCTCAGAGAGATCCACAACAACAACTTCTAGCTCTTCCCCACCACTGGTAGAAGGCGGGGTGTCCTCCTGAAAGATCTGGCCCACAAGAGCTCCCCTAGGGTCCAGTGTGCCTTTACAGAGCATGCCAGATCCAAAGGAGTGGCCACCAACTTTCTTCAGACTCTGCATATGGGGATCCTATGTCATAAATGCTCAATAAACATTTTCGGGAGGTGGGGGAAGGAGAATAAAATCAGGACCCACACTTTAAGGTGCCCACTGCCTACTATACCCAGAGCCTCCTACTGTGCCTGCTGTATACCAGACACCTAAACAGGTAACAAAAGGCACTTTAACAGGAGAGGGTTGGAGGGACAAAGAGACTAGACAGAGACCAAGTAGGGGTAGAGGACTCAGGTTTTGACGGCCACCTACAGGAACCTGCCCGTCAAGCTAGGCATGGCGAATCATCCTGCTACTCTTATTTGTCTGCAGCAGAACCCATCAAAATGATGAATTTTGCTTTCATTTTTAAGTATCTGTCAGGGACATTGATAGCTTATCTGGAAAAGATTATAGCTCATAAAAACTTGCTATCCTCAACTTAAAATACAACTCAGAAAAGAAAAAAACGAAAATATATGCATATGAGATCAATAATAAATTAAATCATATGTGACTTTCTAGCTTTACTAAGTATATTACTAGAGCAAGAAATTCTACAGAAGCTCAGAAGAGGGAGGAGTCCGTATAGCTCTGGCAGGGCAGGTTCCCAGGAGATGGGAACAGGCTGGGCCTCCGTCAGCCAAGAGGACCCAGGGTGTGAGCCACCACAGCCATGAGGGACACCAAATACTTTCAGTGTTCTCTCCACAGCCCCTACAGGTGTTTGCATGCCCTATATTTATTTTTTATAAATATAAAATAGAGAAAAGAATTCTTGACTTGAACACTATATAATGTACACATGTATCAAAACATCCATAGTGTGTACAATTTTTATGTGTCTATTTAAAAAATTCTTGAAACTAATCAGGTATGCCCTTAAGAAGGAATGGACCCATTTATCCACTTATTAAATATGAGACTTGGCTCTATTCCACCTGGGGGTGAGTTTCATCTGCTCCAAAGTAACGTGGGGTCGGAGATGCTATCCAGTCTCCAACGTGGAACAAACATGTAGAAGCTGCTCCAGGGGAATTGCAGAGTAATTGTGCATTCATGAGGAGTCCTGCCACACGGGGATGCTCAGTGGCTTGTTGGGATAGGACAGG